CATTCAATATTAATGGTTTCTGTGATGGGAGCAGGGATGGTAAAGAGCCATGTTTAAGCCTAACTGCAAAATATATTAAAATACTTCATCATTCACAGCTTCACCTTTGTTTTTTTTATCTTTGAAAAAAAAATAGTTCAAGTTATACAAAGCAGTAACACACAGCTCATTCAGAACTTGTGACCTCTGTCTCTCACATGCTCTCTCTCTCTCCCTCTGCTAATTGCTAATGACTTAAATAGTATATCAGTCAAAATACTTACAGATTGAATAATTGTAAAATGTTCAAATGCATGCATAACATTGATATTTTTTTACTTTCTGTTCAATGTTAATAATATGATAATGTCCCTGTCCAGGCACCCATTCCCTCGAGTCTTCAGTTACTGCAGCAAACGCGATTTGGACCGCTATTTCCAGAAGGGAGGGGGCATGTGCTTATATAACATTCCCAACATGAACAATCTGGTGGGGGGCAAGAAGTGTGGCAACGGCTTTGTGGAGGACGGAGAAGAGTGTGATTGTGGAGAACCAGATGTGAGGACAAGTATTCAATTTGAACTTATATTAACTTTCCCTACCAGATAAAAGGGGCATTAAAGCAATAAAGCAGAGGTGGGAAACTCCAGGCCTCAAGGGCTGGTGTCCTGTAGGTTGCAGATATATCACCCTGGGTCAATACACCTGCATCGAATGATTTGTTCATTACCAGGCCTCTGGAGAACTTCATGACATGTTGTGGAGGTCATTTAGCCATTTGAATCAGCTGTGTTGGACCAAGGACGCATCTAAAACCTGCAGGACACAGGCCTGACCCCTGCAATAAAGTAATGCATTATGTTTAATTCTCGTAAGTTAAAAAACTTTTTTGATGCTCATTTACTTTTTGTAACAGCTTTAAACCTTGGTTATGATTTACTTGTCCTATTATTAAATTATTTTGCAGACAATTATCAGCTGATTTTCACACAAAACTTAGCTGAAGAGAAAATATCCAACTTTTGACAAAACCATCTCATCATCATGTCCATTCTGTAGTTTTTTCAGCTTTTAAAAACAGATGAAATGCTATGCTATGTTGTTATAGATACTCTGATTTTTAATTGTCATACCACTGTGCAGAGTTCTCATCTTTGTCGAATGTAGGTTTAAATAGAAGAGAAAAGCCAGAGTATTCTTATTATGAAAGTAATGACTTCACATCACTGCATTTCAGATGCATTTATTTACTGTATTGTTTAAAAAAATTAAACAGCACTTTTTTGAGACTGTGATACGACGCCCACTGCGGTGGCTGTACCTCAGGAGGTAGAGCAGATCATCTACTAACCAGAAGGTTGGTGGGTTAGGTTGTCCCTAACCCTAAAGTTGGCATGCCTTGGGCATGAGGTTAACCCCAAGTCTGTTTCCGATGCATCCATTGGAGTAAGGAGTAATGTTAGATAGAAAGCACTTCTGCATAGAAATAGTGCTTGTGCCCATTGTGATTCAGCATACAAGCCTTTGTTAGGGAGTATGGATGTACTGCAATCACTGTTGTTTTCTACTGGTGCCAAAAGCGGTGGTCCACTGACAGTCTTGAAAGAGAATAAGGAGACTTCACACACACTTCTATACTTATTCACCACTATGCTAGTACTAATGCAGCTAGTTCATGTTATTTACACCAAATATTGATCCCGTCATCTGAATGTCAAAGTGGAAATCAAGAC